AACAAAATCTTTCCCCTTCTTCGACCTCGGTAGTCCTACAATAAAATTCATAGAAATATCTGCCCACTTCCACTTCAGAATGAGTAAAGGCCGTAAGGTTCCTACGGGTCTCTGATGTTCTGTCTTTACTTGCTGGTAGGTAAAGCACTTAACTACATATTCCGTAATCTCCCTACGTATGCCGCCCTACCAAAAATGTCTCTTCAAGTCCTTATACATTTTGGTTGTGCCTGGATGCACAGTGTACCTGGTGTGATACGCCTCGTCAAATAAGTGCTCCAGAGTCTAGCCCTACCGCCCTCCATCAACACCCTCTGTCTCTGTCTCCGTCTCCGTCACCATTGCGATCCAGCCGCCGCCGCTCCAGCCCTACCCCTACTTCCCTCCGTCTCTGTCAGGATCGTCACCGCTCTCCATCTACGTCTACGGTTAGGGTTTCTCCGTCTCTGGTTTTGCTTCCATCCGTCTTAATTTCTTTCATCTGTAGTAATTTTATCTGTAGTTTTTAATGTCACATTTCATGTTTAATCTTCTGTGTGACAGTGTGAGACAAGTAGATTTCTATTTTCTTCATTTTTAGTACTAAACCAGTCTAACCAGACACCATTTTTCTTTCTCACGAGGTTGAACATTCTTATGAAAATTTATTTTGATTTAAAGGAAAGTTCCTTATAAATTATCTTATCTGGAAATATCTATTATTGATACTGTCATGGAAATCCAAGATCAGCAATTTGATATTGGCATACAAGTGAGCAAATAGGCATTGAGAATCTGTCTTATATTGAATATTTTCACACTGGCCACTTTTATGCTAACTCATTGATGATTAAGTTAGGAGTCTTATGGCTAAGATCGGTTTGTTTGTCTGTATCTGGTGTCAGATTCTTGAGTTTGATCAAAATCTATAGAGGAATGGCCGGTTCAGTCGTGTCCAGCAATTAATTCATTACTAGATGAGAAACCTTTAAATTATCTATATAATCCTTGCTAATAATACAACTGTTCATCTGATTATGTTCATCTGATTATGTTCTGTCAGTTCGATACTCATTTAGATCAGTTAATGAACATTGTTGGAACGTCCACATGTTGAGCCTTTCATCTTTTGCTTTCTCTTTTCGTAACATGGTTTCTTTCTTGAATTGTGGTCTAAATTGATACCATGAAATCTGATACGTGTGCTTATAATGCATCATGTTTTATTTACAAAGGATTAGGACTTGCAAGGGTGGAGTTAGATGTCGACTTTTTAGATGAATAGTTAGTCATTGGATATTGACATCCTAACTGCAGCCTTCCTAGTTCCTCCAACTTGTAGTGTTGGATGGATTAGGACTTAGCTAAACATATGCATAATGCAACTATTCCTTGACTTTGTTATTTGCAATGATTTTCATACTGTTCTTACTTCTTACAGAAGTCACTCATCACTCATTATCGTCTTCATGGCCGACGCCGAACCATCTCCTCAGGATCCATCTCCAGCTTTGAGGACACACGCACCTGTAGTAGAGGTATAAACTGAATTGCGCTAAAAAGTTATGCATATTAGAGTGCTAAACTGGTTAAAATACTAATTTAGTTGAATTGTTGAAATGATCTGCAGGCTTCTCAAAAGGAGAATCCTAATGCAAATGCAAGTCAAGTTGATTCTAATCAATCTACACAAGGTTCTCAAACCTTGACTAAAAGGAAAGCAGTAAAAGTAAGATCAGAGGTTTAGGATCATTTTACTAAGTTTAAAGATAAAAATGGTGATCCAAAAGCAAAATGCAATTATTGTGAAAAAGTGTATTTTGCACATTGTAAAAAAAATGGTACTACAGCACTACACAATCATATGGAGTCTTGCAAAAAGCACCCAAATAATGTCGACACTCGACAGAACTATTAAATTTACAACCGGATCTTGATTCACAAAGTGGAGCTAGTACGAAAATAGGAACCCTTGGTAGTTGGAGTTATGATGAAGGAGCCGTACGAAAAGCCCTCAGTTATTTCATCATTTTAGATGAGCTTCCATTCAAGTTAGTAGAGGGTTTAGGATTTAAAATTTTCATGTCCATTGCTTGCCCTAGATTTCATATTCCATCTTGTTGGATAATCCAAAGAGATTGTTATGAGATTTACCTTGAAGAAAAAAAAAGTTTAAAGAATTTATTGAAAGCTACATGTCAGAGGGTGTGTCTAACAACCGATACTTGGACTTCCATTGAAAATATTAATTATATGTGTTTAACAGCACATTGGATTGATAATGATTGGAAATTGAACAAAAGAATAATAAACTTTTTTCCTATTTCAAGTCATAGAGGAGATGACCTTGGGAAGGTGGTCGAGAAGTGTTTACTAGATTGGGAAATTGAGAATGTTTTCACCATCACGGTTGATAATACTAGTTCAAATGATACCATGATTACATACTTAAAAAAGAGGTTCAACAATTGGGGAGGCACAATATTGGGTGGGAAATATCTTTATATGAGATGTATTACACATATTGTTAATCTTGTTGTTAGTGATGGGCTCAAAGATTTAGGGGATTTCGTTGCCCGTGTTCGTTCGGCGATGAGATATGTGAGACAATCTCTATCTAGATTAGCTAAATTCAAAACTTGCATTGAACTAGAAAAAATTGGATTTGGTTCATCTTTATGTTTGGATGTATGCACTAGATGGAATTCCACTTTTTTGATGTTGAACATTGCTAAAAAATATGAAAAAGCTTTTGAAAGATATGGTGAAGATGATCCTTTCTTTAGATTTGAACTAAGTAATGCAAAAATATGAAAAAGCTTTTGAAAGATATGGTGAAGATGATCCTTTCTTTAGATTTGAACTAAGTAATGGAAATGGAGCTCATGGAATGCCATTGGAGGATGATTGGGTTAATGTGAGAGGGTTATGCATTTTGCTTGAAAATTTTTATAAGCTAACATTACGTGTTTCCGGTTCTTCATATGTGACAAGTAATTTTTTTTCTTCAAGAAGTTGGTAATGTTGCTTGTAATTTGCAAAAATGGAGATTGTCTGATGATGCATCATATGCTAGAATTGCTAATAGAATGACAGATAAATATGAGAAGTATTGGGGAAGTTGGGAGAAGACGAATATGTTGATTTACATTGCGGCGCTTCTTGATCCACGAAACAAAGTAGATTTTGTGACTTTTATTCTTGAGCTCACATACGGTGAGAAATAAAGTGTTGATAAGTTAAAATTCATCAAAGATGCCGCATTTGCATTATTCAATGAGTACAAAATTAAATATGGAACTGAAATAGATGCAAGTGGGCAATCAATTGGTGTTTCATCTAATAATATTGGCAATGATGATGTTAATCAAATAACCGATGTAAGAAGTCAGTTTAAAAGGTTGAAACCCGCAAAAGGAAGTATCGAAGCAAAATCAGAGTTGAAAAAAATTCTAAGCGAGGATGTTGAAGCCGATCAAAGTAACTTTGATATTTTAGCTTATTGGAAAGTTAATAGTGCAAGGTTCCCAGTTCTCTCTGGGATGGTTCGTGATGTATTGGCTATTCCAATCTCCACAGTTGCTTCTGAGTCTGCTTTTAGTACAGGTGACCGAGTACTTGATCCATTTAGGAGCTCATTGACTCCGAGAATGGTACAAAGCCTAGTATGCACTTCCGATTAGCTTCGAAACTTGTTGGATACACCGGGTTCGAGCAAAATTTGCTTTGATGAAGATTTGGATGCCATTGAGAAGTTAGACATAGGTATTTACCATTTATGTTTTTGTATGTTAAATGATTTGACTTTTTATTAACTTTTTATTTGTTTATCTTTCAGATTTGGGCAAGCTTTCAATTGAATCGACAATCACGGATTTGTAAGAGCTTTCATGGAAGAACATAGGTAATAATTGTTTCTATTTGGGTAAGCTGATGTTTGGTTTTAGACTAGAAATGATATGTTGCCTTGAACAGCAACACAAGCTCTCATTAATTTGCTTTTTTTTGTATATTGCAGGGCGAAGATGAGGATGGCGACTTCTTATTAATTCAATGAATGTCAAATTATTCTGATGTTGTTTCTAGTAGTCCAGTAACATTTCAAAAGAATCTTATTAATTCAATGAATGTCAAATTATTCTGATGTTGTTTCTAGTAGTCCAGTAACATTTCAAAAGAAAACTTGATGCTTTGTGTTGATTAAATTATTCTGATGTTGTTTCTAGTAGTCCAGTAACATTTCAAAAGAAAACTTGATGCTTTGTGTTGATTAAAACCTGATCTATTAATTTGGATGCTATTTCAATGAGACCTAGTACAGATGATTGGTTCAGTACTTAAGTCTTCAGTGACTTACTTCAATCCGTTCAGACTTTGTGTTGATTAAAACTCCAGTAATTGCAACTTGATCTAAAATATTAAGCACTAACTTGTCTGAAACTTGATCCGTTTAGACTTTATGTTGATTGAAACTCTAGTAATTGCAATTTAGTATGCGCTTAGACTTGTGAGTGATTGAAACTTGATCTGTTTGTTATCATCTAAAATGATTCAGACATTTGTTTGCACCTCTAAATTACATTGGTCCAAGCTATATACACCATATACTTAATGAAGTTAGAACCGAACAAACCGAACCGAACCGACTTATAATGGTTTGGTTTGGTTTTGAATTGTAAGCGGTTCGGTTCGGTTGTTCAAATTTTGGTAAAAACCGAACCGAACCGACCAATGCTCACCCCTATCTTTAGCTGCGGATTATTCGGGATGACTAACCGACCATTCATTCGAAGACCTCCATCTGCTCTAATGGTCCAATCAGTCTTGGGCTCTTTGGAAATCTCATCCTTTCAGGTTTGAATCCAAGAGTCCTCCATCTGAGCTCTGGCTACTCTATCAGTCCAAGATGGTTGCATGGCTAAAGTTCCCAAAAATGCGCTGCTCCCGCGTATCTCTGGCATCAAATCGAATTGGTTAAGGGTGCGAAGATCTTGATATATTGAACATCGCAAAGTTGAAATCTAATGGCGACACTTTCTACTCAATGTGTCTGCTACAATGTTTGCCTTTCCCAGATAATACTGAATCGCGAACTCGTAATCCTTAATGAACTCGACTGCCTCTAGCTGAGTTCCTTTTGGAAGAAGAGATGTTTCAGACTCTGGTGGTCTGTGAATAGCTCAAACTGTACCCTATAGAGGTAATGCCTTCACGTCTTTAGTGCAAAGACCACTACTGCTAACTCCAAGTCATGCGTAGGATAGTTTTGCTCATGAGTCCTTAATTATCTCGAAATATAGGCTACTACTCTCTGGGTTTGCATCAAAACACCTCCTAGACCCAATAATGATGTATCATTGTAGACAACAAAGGTCTTATCATTGCTCTGGATGATCAACATCAGCGATGTAGTCAACTTAGTCTTAAAAGTCTCAAATGCCTTCTGACACTCCAGTCCCCAAACAAACTGTACACCCTTCTTCATAAGGTGTGTCAGCGGCATGACAATCTTCAAGAATTCATGGATGAACTTTCTGTAATAGCTAGCCAGGCCCAAAAAGCTACGAATCTTTATAACAGTCTTCGGAGGCTCCCAATCAAGTACTGCCTCTACCTTAGCTCGATCTATAGTTATGCCCTCCTTGATAATATGGCCTAAAAATCTAACCTTGAATAGCCAAAAATCATACTTGCTAAACTTAGCGTACAATTGGTGCTCCCATAAAGTCCACAGTACCAATTGAAGATGTTGCTCGTGCTCTGCCTCGGATCTTGAATAGATAAGGATGTCGTTGATGAATATGATCACGAACTGGTCCAAATATAGACAGAAAACCTGATTCATCAAATATAGACAGAAAACCTAGTCCAAATATGACCATGAACTGGCCCAAATGACATGACAAGGAACTCGAAAGACCCATATCGAGTCAGAAAGGTAGTTTTGGGAATATCCATCACCCGACCTCGCAATTGATGATAGCCAGAACGAACACCAATCTTCGAGAAATAGTGTGCTCCCTGTAGCTGGTCAAATAAGTCATCAATTCTCGATAGTGGATACTTATTTCGAATGGTGACCTTATTCAACTCACAATAATCTATATATAAGCGCATAGTACCATCCTTCTTCTTCACAAAGAGAACCAGCGCTCCCCACGGAAAATGACTCCGGTGAATGAAACTCTGAGCCAAAAGCTCATCTAGCTGAGTCTGTATCTCCCTCATCTCAGCATGTGCCATATGACAGGGTGCTCGAGATATCGCTGCTAAGCCTGGTTGCAACTCGATGTAGAACTCAGTCTCTCTCACAGGAGGTAACTCAGGTATGTCCTGAAAGACATCCTGATACTCTAAGATGACTCTAGTCTTGCATAAATTAGCACTCAGATCCCACAATATCACCTCCTCGATGTACGCTAGAAATAACTCTGCAAACTAGTTGCCCTGTGAGGTTGCTACAATCAACTCGGTCCCATTGGACGCTCTTAAACTAGCTGTTTTAGCAAAACAGTCGATACTAACATGGTATGATGATTATCCATCCATACCATGGATAACATCGACTTCGGACATACACAAAACGATCAGATTGATGATAAACTCAGACTCATCTAAACTGATAACATATCTCTTACAGATACTCTCTAATAGGGACATCTCGCCTAAAGGAGTAGAGACTGATAATGGTACATCTAGGAGATGTGTAACTAGCTGAAGCCTATACATGAAGGTATGAAAAATAAAGGAATGCGAAGCTCCTGAATCGAAGAAGATTTGAGCTGGGAAGAAGTTCAATAAGAAAGTACCTTCCACTATGGCTCCACTCGCACCATGATCGTGTGGTACGACTGCATAAACCCTCCCGGTGGCTGAAGACTGCAGTGCTAAAGACGGTGGAACATATGGGACTATCTGTCCCTGAGGAATCTCCTGGATGGCATGTATCTGGCATGTTGGCCCCTCAATCCTCGGAACTATTAGCAGTGCCTCAATCCTCTATTGCTGGCCATAACTGCGACCCTACGACTGCTGACCATGACCATGGTTCTGCTGTCTGTGTCCACATCCCTGCTGCTAGCCCTGGCCTCTGCCCTGTTGACCTCTTGCTGGTGCGCTACGATAATGCTTCGTCCTATGTCCGATCTTGTTGTAGTTGTAACATGCACCTTGAATCCTGCACTGCTGTGGCGCTCTAGAATCATGTTGTGACCCCTTCATAGATGGTCCTTGTTGCTGGTGATGAAAATCCTTACCCCGCTGCTAGGGTCCTCCAAGTCCTACAAAAGATCTCTTACCCTTGCTATTGTCACCATGTTGTCCTGCCTTAGTACTACCTTTCTTGGTCTTCTGAAATATCACAATCTCTATTTCCTATGAAATAGTGGTGTTAGCTACCTCTCGAACTGAGTGGAAACGTCTAGAAATGAGGAAGCGGCAAAGGCTTGGTCGAAGCCCCATAGGAAACATCTGAGCCTGACGCTCTCCAGTCTACTGCATGCCCGTGAAGCGAAGTAAACTCATGAATCTGTTCTTATAGTTAGCTACAGTCATGTCTTCCTGCTCTAGTCTGGATAGCTCTAGCTCTTTCCCGGTCCTTGCCATGGAAGAGATAAACTGCTTGTTGAAAAAGTAAACAAATCTTCCCAATTGAGTACCATCCGGTGTTCTGGGGTGAATTGAAGCATGTACCACCCTCCGGCATCACCCTTAAGGCTGAAAGCTGCCAATCTCTGCTTCTGGACTGAATCAACGTTAAGTAGATCGAGAATATTCCCTACATCTTCCTTCCACTTGTAGGCTACTAATGAGTCTGATGATCCCTAAAATTCTGGTGCCCTCATCTTCTGATACCTCTCAACTAGACGGAGTCAGGCCTCCTGCTCCGTGGCTCTATCGACAACTAATGGTAGTGTAACTCCTGGTGTACCATCTGGGGACTCATCTGCAATAGGTATAGCTAGAATCACTAGTGGTGGAACCACAGGTGGTAGTGAAACTGGTGGAGTCTGGTTCGCCACTCGCTCCTCAAGAGCTGCAAAATCTTGCTGCAAACGACGCTATGAGGTCGATCAGATATTGTGGAGCCTGTTACGGCTCAGGCTTTATTTGCCCAGCTCTCCGGGTATGAGTTCTATCTCGACCACATCATCGTCCCGACATTTATGATATCAGGAGAAGAGCTTATTAGACACAGTAATGAGACCTCAGGCAAAAGGCATAAATATAACTCATAACAATAAGAAATACGTATCATATATCTTTCACGCAAATACTTTACAATCAACGTAAAATAGTTGTCCTAAATTTTTTTTGAAGTTTTTGAAATATACGTATATAACGTCCTCACCCATTCTAGGAATTCCTAGCAAACTCTATACATGAATCTTAAGAAACTCTATTCTAGCTCCACGACTCGACACATGATGATCCTAAGGATGCTAGAACTAGAGCTCTGATACCAACTGTGACGCTATTATTTTCACACATGGCTGCAGTCCAAGATGAACTCAGAGATGTCAAACCTGCTATGCACCCATACTGTGCAACAATATGTTTCACCATCACAGTAGTATCTCTCTAGAGGAATCAACAAGTGTAGGTACAAAACAGGAAAAATAAGGGAAATAAGTATATTAGATATGATGTAGAAAGAGATATCTAATAAATATAATCATGTCTCAACTGAATAAATTGAATATAACTAAAGTCTGGAATAAATGTGAAGTATCTCAATATGAGT